ATAAAATAAAAATAAATAAAATGCTCTCTCTTGAGCGCCAATTCAGCCGCGTGACCAGCATGCTAGCTTCATACTAGAGGTTCGAAGCATAGAAGTTAACTAGTGAGATCAAAATAAACACACATAAACTCAAATTATCTTTTTCCTTGACCAGGTCTCAGATGGTTCTCCCCTCTGGCTCCTGCCTTGAGCCACCTGGTGGGGCAGCAAGGTTTACACAGACTAGCAGGAGAGAGAGAGGCAGGGCATGCCAGAGAGTGGCCTTTTATTGGGGAAAAAGAAATTCAGGGGAAAATTCCATCTCATGAAGGTCGAGGGGGATAGCATTCCAAGGTCAATGGTCAGTCATACCCCCACACGGATGGGCTCTCGCACCTAGAAAGGGTGGGGATTAGTTCTGACACAGCTTAGCCAGAAAGCCTCACACCCAATCAGGGAGGTGCCCAATCACGTTCGAGAATGGCTTCCCACAAAAACCACACTAAGAATTCATCTCACTTCAATCAGAATGGCAGCTATTATAAATACAAACAACAATAAGTGTTGGTGAGGATGTGGGGGAAAAGGTACACTCTTACACTGCTTGTGGGACTGCAAATTGGTACAGCCAATGTGGAAATCAGTATGGAGATTTCTTGGAAAATTGGGAATGGAACCACCATTTGACCCAGCTATCCCTCTCCTTGGTCTATACTAACAGGACTTAAAAACAGCATACTATAGGAACACAACCAAATCAATGTTTATAGCAGCACAATTCACAATAGCTAAAATGTGTAACCAACCTAGATGCCCTTCAATAGATGAATGGATAGGTGTTGGGGCTGAAGCTCAGTGGTAGAGCACCCGCCTTACACGTGTGAGGCACTGGGTTCAATCCTCAACACCACATAAAAATATTGTGTCCAAATACAACTAAAAATATATTTTAAAAAAATAGATGAATGGATTAAAAATGTGGCATATATACACAACAGAATATTACTCAGCAATAAACGAGAATAAAATCATGGCATTTACAGGCAAATGGATGGAGTTACAGAAGATAATGCTAACTGAAGTTAGCCAATCCTAAAAACCCAAATGCCAAATGTTTTCTCTGGTATAAGGAAGCTGATTCATAGTGAAGTAGGGAGAGTGATCATAGGAGGAATTGACAAACTCTAGATAGGGCAGAAGGGTTGGAGGGGAAGGGAGGAGGCATGGGGTTAGAAATAATGGGGGATTGTGATGGTCATTATTATCCAAAGTACATGTATGAAGACACAAATTGGTGTGAATATACTTTGTATACAGCCAGAGATATGAAAAACTGTGTTCTATATGTGTAATAAGAATTGTAGGGCTGGGGTTGTGGCTCAGCGGTAGAGCACTTGCCTAGCACATGCGAGGCCCTGGGTTTGATCCTCAGCACCACATGAAAATAGATAAATAAAATAAAGGTATTGAATCTGTAAAGTCCTGGCGATGAGGGAGACCACCCAAGAGACTGACTCCATGCAATTGGCAAAAGGGGATATTTATTGGGGATCCATTCAAGCGCGCTGGGGCTCCGTGCCCACTCAAGAAGGGAGAGCAGCCCAGAGCCCAGAGCAGAGTTCAAGCGGAGCTTAAGTACACTTTTCGGAGAGGGTAGGGGGCTTTGCATACATCAGAACAAATCATCATGAGGCGCGGGAAAATTGAACAACAACCCTGAATCAGGATTAGTGCATACATTGGCGGGTATAATCAGGGCAGGAGTGATTGGTGCTCCTAGGTGGGGTACACATTCAAACTGATTGGTTTGGACCCTGAATATCTACGTGACAAACTGCACAGGGTCTTGAATGCTTACGTGAGGAGTTGCACAGGACCCCAGTCCATAAATCACTAAATGGCCAGTAGGGCCTTGTCCTAACTGCCTCAGGAATTTAACCCATGCTTTGCAGTTTTAGAAGCAGGTTTACAAGCCTGGTCCTTTACACTTTAACTCAGGCTCTGCGGCTTAGAATCAGCTTGGAAATTTTACCTTTACAAATCCAACTACAACTAAACACTAAATATTAAAAAAAAAATGTAATGCATTCTGCTGTCACATATAAATTTAAAAATTAATTTAAAAATATCAGCTGGGTGCAGTGGTACATGTCTATAATCCCAGCGACTGGGGAGGCTGAGGCAGAGGGATTTCCAGTTCAAGGCCAGCCTTGGTAACTTAGTGAGACCCTGTCTCAAAATAAAAAATAAAAAGGACAGGGGATGTTGTTCAGTGGTCAAATGGTCAAGCTTATAGCAGAGCACGTAACTCAGTTATAGACCATATGCTTAGCATGCACCAGACCACAGGTTCAATCTCCAGTACCAAAAAATAGTTGAGTTTAGTATACAGAATATAATTTTCCAGTCCTATTCGCTTTACTTAAATTCATTTCTGGCCTATATTCTTAAAATGAACTCTTGGGGCCCAGTGTGATGGCACACACCTAACTCCAGTTCTAGAACACCCCTGGGTTCAATCGCTAGTACCCAAAAAAATATTAAAAAAAAAAATATTCTTGCTGGTTGTATGGCATATATCTGTAATCCAAGTGGCTAGGGAGGCTGAGGCCAGCCCCAGCAACTTAGCAAGGACCTTAGCAACTCAGCAAGATCCTATCTCTAAATAAAATACAAAAAAGGGCTGGGGATATGGCTCAGTGGTTAAGCAACCTTGGGTTCAATCTCCAGTACCAAAAAAAAAAAGAAAAGAAAGAAAGGATCCCATCAAGTGACAGAATAATTAATGAAGAAATCTAAACAATAAAATAAAATTGTCCAGAATAAATAAAATATTCCCAAAGTTCTAAGAGATGGGAGAGGGTACAACAAAACAATGATATTAAAATTAAGAGAAAATAATCTTGCTGGGTGCAGTTACATATGCCTGTAATCCTAGCTCCCTGAGAAGCTGAGGCAGAAGGATTGCAAATTCAAGTACAGCCTGGACAATGTAGCTAGACCCTGTCTCAATATTAAATAAAAAATATAAAGTAACTGAATGAGTGAGCACCTCATCTGGGTTCAATTCCTACTAGTTCAATTAAAAAAAAAAAAAATCTCCAATCTACCAAACGACTCATCAGAAAAGGAGGCTGAATTAGTCATGTGCTCATAGAAAAAATGAAGCAAGTTATGAAAAAAGAATAAGCAGCCAAGCATAGTGGTCCTCACCTATAATCTCAGCTACTTGGGAGGCTGAGGTGAGAGGCCAGCCTGGGCAGTTTAGTGAGACCCTATCTCAAAGTAAAAAATAAAAAGAGCTGGAGATATTTGTAGCTCTGTGTTTAAGCCCTAGTATCACAAATGAATAAATAAATAAAACAAAAGGAAAAGCAGGAATGTATTCAACAGGGTTTAGACAGAAGTGATATTTAGAATCATAACATAAATTTTGAATATTGATTTATCCACAAATTATGAAGATTACAATAAATATGTAATATTGTAGTAGTATTTCATCTTCATCATCTATACCAAGAATTACTGTTAATATAGAATTCTGAAATTCCATGAAGAGTAAAACCTGAACATGCATGAAATTCTCCCAATTTTGTATAAAAACTCACTTTAGTTCATACTTCTACCCAATCAAAAAAAGTTTGGTTTTTTTTTTTTTCAGCTGGGCGCAGTGGTGCATGCTTGTAATCCCAGCAATTGGGGAAGCTGAGGCAGGAGGATTGCGAGTTCAAAGCCAGCCTCCGCAATGCCAAGGCACTAAGCAACTCAGTGAGACCCTGTCTCTAAATAAAATACAAAAAAGGGCTGGGGATGTGGCCCAGTGGTCGAATGCCCCTGAGTTCAATCCCTGGTACCAAAAAAATTTTTTTAGTTCTCGGCGGACACAACATCTTTGTTGGTATGTGGTGCTGAGAATCGAACCTGGGTCGCACGCATGCCAGGCGAGCGCGCTACCGCTTGAGCCACATGCCCAGCCCCCAAAAAAATTTTTTTAAAAGAAGTTTTTTTTGTTGTTGTTGTTGTTGTTTTTAATGTATGGAATTCTTTTAAAAACTTGCAAAATATGCTATTGCAAAATATGCTATTTCAAAGAAGTACTAAAAATATTAATGTTAACAAACAATGCTTGAAGATTACTTGCTTTTATCCCATGAACATGAACATTTATAGCTATGATTTTAGGGTATAAAAATAGTCAGAGGAGAGAGAGGGTGTGGTGGTGCACGCAGTAATCCCAGGGGATAGGAAGGCTGAAACAGGTGGATTGAAAGTTCAAAGCCAGCCCCAGCAACAGTGACAGCCTATCTCTAAATAAAATACAAGGGCTAGGGATATGGCTCAGTGGTTGAGTGCCTCAGAGTTCAATCACTGGTACCAAAAAAAAAAAACTTTATAGTCAGATGTTTAAGTATGTGCCTATAGTCCCAAACACTCAGGAGGCTAAAGCAGCAGGATCATTTAAGCCCAGGAATTCAAGACCAACCTGGGCAACATAATGAGACTCTCATCTCAAATATAAATTTAAAAAATAAATAAAATAATAAATAAACAGCTAATATCTCTGATCAATTGAACCTTAGAAAAGATAAATATATAATTGTACCCAAAAATCACTGCTCATATTTCAATATTTAATAGCAAATTTAATAGTATATCATGATCATCCTCAGAGACTATCAAGACTTCCAGGATTTCTATCCTTAAAATTATTGAAGACCCACTGTCCTAGTGGTAGCTATATTGTCTCTTGAAATTTTTGAGGCTTCCATAACTGGCTCATTAGTATCTCTGAATTCAATCATTCTTTTGTAAAAGTTAGAAAAAAATAAGAAAAGTAGCTACAAACTTCACTAATTACTGGTATAATCTCTCTATTATGATGTGACCAAGCTTCTATCACAAGACTTTAAGACTATAAACTTAGTAATATAATAATTATAATATGTTACTTTGAGAAACATTATCAGAAAATCTTTTTACAAAATATTCAGTTAAAAAGGTTTAGTTCTTTCATAGATTACCTGGCCTGCTGAATCAGGATGATTTCTCTTGATTTCATATTCCAGCCTATACTGAATGTAATCCAGATCAGAGTCAGCTTTCTGGAACTAGAAATTAGCACAGATCATTATTTTGTAAACCAAAAGACATATTAGTAAATATGATACTTCTTTTTTCTTTTCTCATCACATTTTTAAATATTTTAATAATATGTAATAAACATTCATTTTCAATGGTTAATTTTTTGCCCATCATGCTCCAGGCTCTAGGTTTGATCATCACCCAGCAGTATCCAAAAAAAAAAAAAGGAACAAAGTATGGAAATAAAAAGTATATAAAACATCCATTATCTAGCCAGCTGCAGTGGCAGACCTATAATCCCAGCAACTCCAGAGGTTAAGTCAGGAGAATCACAAATTCAAGGCCAAACTCAACTTAGTGATACCCCTCCCTTTTTGTTGTTTTTGTTTTGGTTTTTTTTTTTTTTTTTTTTTTTTTTTTTTTTTTTTTTGTACAACAGATTGAATCCAGGGGGCACTTACCTACTGAGCCACATCTGCAGAGCCCTATTTTATTTTTTACTTTGAGACAGGGTCTCACTAAATTGCTTAGGGTCTTGCAAAGTTGCTGAGGATGGCCTTAAACTTGAGATCCTAGAATTACAGGCATGTGCCATTGTACCTGGCAAGGTCTTGTCATAAAAAGTAAAAAACGGTTGGAGATGTAGCTCAGTGGTAAAGTGCCCCTGGGTTTAATCCTCAGTATTCCTTCCCCAAACCCTTTATTCATAATAACCTGTTCGCTATTAAAAATTTTTTTAAAAGTGGCTTGGGAGGCTGAGGCAGAAGAATTGAAATTCCAAAATCAGCTTGAACAATTTTAAATGACCCTAAGCAACTTAGTGAGAGCCTGATTCAAAATAAAATATAAAAGTGCTGGGGATTTGGCTCAGTTGTTAAGCTCCCCTAGGTTCAATCCTCAGTACCAAAACAAATTTTTTTTTTTTTTATCTAGAACTATGTGTGTGTGTTATTGAGGATCAAACACAGGCTTTCACACATGCTAGGCAAGAGATAAACTACTGAGCTATACCTACAGCCCTTCTAGAAATTTATTTTATTTTTTCCATTACTGGGGCTTAAATCCATGGCCTCACAAATGCTAGGCAAGAGCTCTGCCATTGACCTATATTCCCAGCCCTTTGTTTTAAAATTTTACTCTGTTTGCCAGCCATAGTGATGCACACCTGTAATTCCAGCAACTAAGGAGGCTGAGACATGAGGATAGGAAGTTCAAAGCCAGCCTCGGCACTTTAGTAAGGCCCTAAACAACTTAGCATAAAACATAAAGAGACTGGGGATGTGGCTAGTGGTTAAATACCCCTGGGTTCAATCTCTGGTACAAAAAACAAAGTAAAATGAAATAAAATTTTATTATGAGACAGGGTCTCACTAAATTTACCTGGCCTGGCCTGAAATTGGGATCCTAACCCTCCTTAGCAGGCCGGATTACAGATGTTTACCCCTATACCTTGATAAGAACTGCTTAATTCCCTCCATCCCTGCTGGGAACTGAATTTCAGAGAGCTCCCCCCCCCCTTTTTTTTTTTTGACAGGCTCTCCCTAAACTGCTGAGGCTGGCAATAAACTTGCAATCCCTGGAATCAGCCTCCCAAGTACTGGGATTACAGGCATGTGCCACCAAGTTCGGCCAATACTTAACACTTTGAAGTCACTACTCCATAAATCTTTCTTAGATTTAAATTAAGATACTAATAACTATTGTCATATATTAATCAAACAATGATCCAGTACTGCCTAGAGTCACTGACATTCTCATCAGTTATTGAGTATTTTTGTACCTCTGGCAGGAACTATGGTTAAGGTAAAACACAGAACAAATTTATATCAGGTGTAGTCACAGTTACCTTTATTACAAATAACCCATTAACAAAAGAGATACAGATGTGTACCACCAAAATTAGAGACCTTGAAGAGTCACAAAGTATTCAAGAAAAGATAACATTCTATATACAATAGTAGCAATACTATAGTAGCAATCTAAACAACCCCAATTTACTTAACTTGGGTATTAGTATATGCTCTGTAGTAAACCTCTAAGGGAGAAAAATGGAGACTACTGCCACAGACCATCATTAGTATAAAGGACTGAATTTGGGTGAAAATTTACATTTAAAAGTTCCAATACATATGGCTCAGTTGCACAGTGTGTGCTTAACATGTCTGAGGCCTTAGATTCAATTCCCAACACCCCCAACAAAAGAAGTCAATATTCAGAATACCAAGTAGTTACTGAAAATGATGATATACAAACAACAACTATCAGATATGGCCACTTTTTACTTTATATATTTCATAGCATTTGTAATAAAGTTATTACTTTTATAATCTTAAAAAAACATTAATTTCTTAAATGATAACAGACTGATTTGATACAGTACTATATTTATGAATTGTTAAATGCAAAAATAGCTATGAGAGGGCTGGGGCTATAAATCAGTGATAGAGTGCTTGCCTCACACGTGTGAGGCACTGGGTTCAATCCTCAGCACTACATAAAAATAAATAAAGGTATTGTGTCCATCTACAACTAAAAAAAAAATGTTAATATGGTATAACCTCTTTTTGTAAACTATGTATATGTGTATAAATAGAAAAGTTGGGAAGGATATATATCAGAGTATTAAAAGTAGTTTGTTTCTTTGTTTGTTTGTTTCTTGGTACTGAGGATTGAACCCAGGGGTGCTTAACCACTGAGCAACATCCCCAGCCCTTTTTATATTTCATTTAGAGGAAGGGTCTCTCTGAGTTGCTAAGTACCTCGATAAATTGCTGAGGTAGGTTTTGAACTCATGATCCTCCTGTCTCAGCCTCCCCAGCCGCAGGGATTACAAGTGTGTGCCACCGTGCCAAACGAAAAGTAATTTATTTTTAAATATAGTATAATTGATAAATTAAGTTTTTGAAATTCTGCATATTTTTAAAGGATCTTAAAAGTGTTGGCTTGAATTTGTCAGGGATAAAACCCACAGTCCTTAGAACTTACAGAAGGCAAAATGTAATTTCCTACAGCTTGGTCTCTCATTCCTAGCCCAAGCCTAAGAGACTGCATTCTACCTTCCCTGGAGTTAATTGTTAAACATTTACATGCAATCAACTGCTTTTCAAAGTTTTTTTTGTTGTTGTTGTTGAGGGGTATTGCTGGCCTACAACATTTGGGCTAAAGCAAGCCTCTTGCTTCAGCTTCCTAAACTGGGACTACAAACACAGTCACACCTAGTTTCAAAAAATTTTTTTTAAATTTTCCATCTCCCCCCTTTTTTTCTTTTTAAGATATAGATGGACACAATACCTTTATTTTATTTATTTATTTTTATGTGCTGCTGAGAATTGAACCCAGTGCCTCACACGTGCTAGGTAAATACAGTACCACTGAACTACAACCCCAGTCCTTCCATCCCTTTTAAGTAATCTGCCCATATTTCTATTTAGAAAATATTTCAGAGAACAAAGAATTTAAGTAGACTTTAAAATATAGAAAGCTCATGCAGGGTGCAATGATGCATTCCTATAATCCCAGTGATTCAGGAGGCTGAGGCAGGAGGATAGAAAGTTCAAAGCCAGCCTCAGGAATTTAGCAAGGTCCAAAGCAACTTGGTGAGACCTTATCTCCAAATAAAAAATAAAAAGGGCTAGGGATGTGGGGCTGGGGATGTGGCTCAAGTGGTAGCGCGCTCGCCTGGCATGAGTGCGGCCCGGGTTCGATCCTCAGCACCACATACCAACAAAGATGTTGTGTCCGCTGAGAACTAAAAAATAAATATTAAAAAAAATTTTTAAAAAAAGGGCTAGGGATGTGGTTCAGCCGTTAAGTAATCTTGAGTTCAATCCCTGGTACCAAGGGCGAGGAAAAGAAGCCTAATTTTTTTTTTCTTTTAGAGAGAGAGAGAGAGAATTTTTTAATATTTATTTTTTTAGTTTTCGGCGGACACAACATCCCTGTTTGCATGTGGTGCTGAGGATAGAACCCAGGCCACACACATGCCAGGCGAGCGCTTGAGCCACATCCCCAGCCCAAGCCCAAATTTTTTAAAAAGAAATATGAACCAGCAATTCCACTTTCGGACATATATCCAAAAAAGAAAACAAGATCTTACAGAAATATTTATGTGCCCATTTTCATAGCAGCCTTATTCATAATAGCCAAAAGATAGAACCAAGCCAGGTGCACATCAAGGGATTAGTACATTTAAATATTGTCAAAATGGTAATTTTTGTTGTATTTTGCCATAATTAAAAAAAAAATTAAAGAGAGAAAAAAGCTTGAGAGTAAAATGTTATCCTCTGTGGGAAACTATATAGAATATTTTGTGATTACAAACAGGATAAGAATTTGCTTATTAGTGAAGTGGTCTGGGGGACAAAAAAGGAAAAAGGATTTCAATGCAATGTTGAGAGACAGAAAAACAATTTTAAGAACCCTCTGAGGGGCTGGGGTTGCAGCTTGATGGTAGAGTGCTTCCCTAGCACATGTGAGGCACTGGGTTAGATACTCAGCACATGAAAATAAATAAATAAAATAAAGGTATTGTGTCCATCTACAATTTAAAAAATTTTTAAAAATTTTAAAAAAAGAGCCTCTGATTTGAACCTTCCATTTTACAAGTGAGGAAATAGGCTAAGTGACTTGTTTGTAATTCAGTTCTTATTACTCTGTTTTTATGTAATTAAACCAGTTATACATGATTAAAGCCAATAAAAGCCATATAGAAGTAGAAAAACTATAAATCCTTAACTTGAATTAAAATTAATCTGCTCATGTTATAAAAAAATCAATTAAAAATTCTCTCTTGAAATAAATATTAAAAAATAAAAATCCCCTCTGAACAAAACCTGATAGTATGGCACAGAAAAATAAAATGAATTGAAGTATTTGGTAGAAGTTCTAGTCCTGGTATCTTCAGCCAGTAGTGTAGCCTTAAGTGAGTATTCATTTCTCTGGGCCTGTCTCTCTTATTACATGAAAGAATTATTTCAGGTGGCTTTCAACACTTCAATTCTATTATTTCCTTATAATTACAAATAAA